TCTCTCTCTCTCTCTCTCTCTCTCCTCCTCCCTTCCTCCCCCCCTCTCTTTTTCTTTCTTTCTTTTTTTCGTTCTCCTTTTATAGTTCAGACTGGCCTTGAAATCATTATGTAGCCTGGGCTAGCCATTAATTTGAGGCATAATTCTTCTGCCTCAGCCTCTCAAGTACTGGGATTACAGGCATACACCACCATACCTGGCTGTGGCAGTAGCTTTTACAGTTTTGTTTTTGTTTTTGTTACTGGGAATTGAACTAAGGGCCTCGCACGTGCCAGGCCAGCACTGTGCCACTGAGCTATATTCCCGGCCCCGTAGCTTTTACAGTTTGAGGTGTGACAGCAAAACTAGCATGGATTTCTTTTTTCTTCCTTCACAGTTTCACAAATTAGGTATATAAACTTTAATTACCTATCTTCAGTTTTCTTACATGTAAAATACGGATAACAATACCTAAGTTATAGGATTGGAATTAGCACAGGTGAAAGCATACAAGGTATGTGAAAATATACATATATGATGTATATAAAAGCATAAGCCTAGGTATTTATGAAAATTCCTTCCAACTTTGTTTCTATATAGATCTCTTACTCTTAAATGAATATTTAAGTATTTGAAAATTTAGTAAGAACCTAGCACTCTAAATCTATTACTACTAAGAAAGTATTTTTTTTCTTTCTGTGGCACTGGGGATTAAACCCGGGACTTTCACACTGAGCTACACCCCAGCCCTTTATTTATTTGTTCATTTATTTATTTATTCATTCATTCATTCATTATATATTTACACATGATCTCTAAGTTACTCAGTTTCCCAGCCTGGAATCAAACTTGGATCCCTCCTGTCTTGGCCTCAGAGTGCTGAGATTACAGACATGTACCACCATGCTTTTTTTTTAGACAGTGTCTCACAATCTTCTGGGCTGCTTTTAAATTCACTGTGTATCCCAGGCAAGCCTCAAACTTGTGAACCTTCTGCCTTAAGTCTCCTGAGTGGTGGGATTACATTTATGTACCATCACGCCTATGTTATTATTTTTTAATAATGCCATGCTATATTTTCACATTCTTTGTTCCTCCAGTTAAAATGTAAGTAAAATTATAACTATGCACCTATTCCATGTTATGATCATTAGTATAATATAAAAAGTTTCTTTAAATGATTCATCTTTCTTAAGTACACATTGAACAATAAGATAATGGGGTGTGTATTCTTTAGGAACTTTTTTTGAAGTTAGGAGAATTTTTATTGGAAATAAGGAGAATGGCTCCTGGATTTCTAGAAAAGGTCTGGAGTGGGCCACATGGCCACTCAATCCAGAGCTAAATATATATATATGCAGAGCACAGGAAACACTGCTATATGGAAGATATAAAAAGGGAGCTCCAGGCACTATACTGATCCCTCCTGGTGGTCTCCAGCTATACCTGTAGCTTATCACTTTTATAGGTCAGTGAGGCTAAAAAGCCACAGTAGCAGCTATTAAAAGAAAAACAAACCAACCAAACAAAAACCTCAGCAAGAGTCTTTTCATTTCTTAGTTGAAAAAGTCCTTCAGTACCACAGAGATCTCAATTTTCTTACGGCCGAAACTAGAGGGACTTATATACTAATAAATAAAATGTCTTTAGATAAATAACTAACATCAGATAAAAGAAGACCTTAAAACAATAAAAAGAGGGGCAACCCACTTTCTGGGTCCCCTTCTGTCATTCTTGGAAGCTGTCTTTCCCTCAATAAATATTTCCTACTTTTAAAAAAAATTAAAAGAAAACATTAGACTTACAGATAAACCTCCATGAGCATGCAGGTCTAGGAGCCAGCTGGTTACAATCCCTACTCTAATCCCTTAAAAACAGTGTCTGGACTTGGCTCCTTTCTCCCAATCTGTCTTTTCATTCTGGTTCTTGTGTTTGGGCCATGGATTTTTACCTTGTTGGTAAAATTTTTTCTTCTCACCTAAAGGATGTCAAACTCCAAATGGTCATGCAGATAGAACCAACAATAAATTTGCCAGACTCCTTTTACCAGGGTCCACTTAATCAGGAACTTTTCTCATGAGTTCAGTGGGTTTTAGATTTTGCCTAAAACTGCTAATCATACTTTCCTGCATAAGCAAACACTCACTGTCACTAGGAACTCAGCAGATGTGCTCAGTTCACGTTATTATATCTGAAAGAATTTTGTTGAAATATAATTAAACTTCCTTGGCGTGTGAGGTGATTTTTTTCAATGTCTTTAAAGAATAGTGTGAAAGGCAGATTTATGCTGTTAGTGTACAGATAATCAAAATTCTCTTTGCTCAGAGATGAAATTGAGAATTATGCTCCATATTTAAAGATATTCCTGGAAGTTTCTAATAAAAATACTTATTCTCTATATGGGACAAAGGAAAAAAAGTGGAGTTTTGTGTTCCTTCCACTCACCTCATAGTTTATCAAAAATGAAATCTTGACTTTAGGGCTATGGGCTATCACTTGTTTACTAGTTATATCACAATTTCTTATATTCATAAAAGAAAAAAATGTTTTCTTAGTAGTAGCTAAGACATATATGTTGGTAACCACTGTGTTTTTCTGAAAATAAGACCTAACTGGAAAATAAACTTCGGCTATAATTAATAGCTAGTCATTACCATGGTAATGGGCATGTCATGCATCTCACTATTATCTTGTTCAATGACTACTCTGTAATAGCAGGGAAAGCAAGGATAGGTTGATTGGAGCTGGCATGTTTTATCTTTAGTTAGGTCTTAGTTTTTGGGAAACATGGTGGGTAGAATTTGTGACTTTAACATTGTGATTTTACTTAAATAGAGTTAATGTTTGTTTCTTTTGTTTGTATATCTGTAATCAATAACCTTATGCCTTTTTTTAATGCCTTCTTCTAAAGGGTTACAATAGAAGTATTTCCCGAACAGAAGCGATAATACGCTTTGCTTTTCAAGCATCTATCACAGTTCTATGTATTGCATGTCCCTGTTCACTGGGACTGGCCACCCCAACTGCTGTCATGGTGGGTACAGGAGTAGGTGCTCAAAATGGCATACTTATCAAAGGTGGAGAGCCGTTAGAGATGGCTCATAAGGTAAGACAGTTTCCAGAACTAAAAATTGCCCCATCCACACTTGCAATAGCACCCCTATTGAGGAACACAGATCCCTAAGTTATTTCCACATGATTCATAAGCAGAGCCTCTTCTGGGACTGTCCTGAGGGTTAAGGTAGGAAAGATGTTATTTTGGTTCTGCTCTAAATTGGCTTTGATCTCTTACTCCTGATAAGGAAAATCTGGAGCTTTTTCCCAGCTCAGACTAGACCAGTATTTAGGAAAGGAAGACAGACTAGGTATTTGCCTGGGAAAATTTGCTGAATTGTAGCAGACTTCTAAGGCATTTATATATGACTCCATGTGTAGGTTCTTCAGTAAGAACTAGTGGCTGCAATTACAGGACAGTTTCTTTGCCCTTGTTGCCATCAGCTGGCAGTTTGCAGCTATGTTTTCAGGAATATAATCATCCCTGATCTCTTTCATTGTAGTATTTCTGGGGTTTTTTGGCACTGGGGATGGAACTCTGGACCTTGCGCTTGCGAGGCAGGCAGCGGCACCACTGAGCTAAATCCCTGGCCCTCATTGTAGGATTTCTATAACAATCTCAGCTAAATCTACTTGTCTTCGACTAAAATCACATACCTAGTAGTATGTTCTTATTATGAGGATATAAAGTATATACAGGTGCATATGGTAAACATAGAACATAGCTTACAACAAATCTACAACTCACCTAGCCTTTGAATATAGGCTTGTGATTTTTATACAAATTTTAAAATTTTGATGTAATTTCAAACATAAAAGTTGCAAGACTAGTATAGAAAACTCCTGTTCTTTACTGCAGTGGTGGGGCACCTTTCCTAAGAACAAGAACACTCCCTCATGTCACCCCAGTACAGTGATCAAAATCAAGAAATTAATATAATACTGTTACCTATAGCCCGTGTTCCAGTTTTCTTAGTTGTCCTTTATGGCTATTTTGCTCTCTTCCAGAATCATGTTTTGTATTTAATATTCATATCTCTTTCATCTCTATTCCAAGTTTATGGTGAGGTGAATGTATTCTTTAATTCCATGTGGTTTCCTATGTGGTTGAGTTTCCCACAAATTGTTCCTTGAATTGTTTCTTCTCAGCCCAAGCTTCTAACCAAGATCCAATCAAGCCAGAACAAGCCAGATGATCATATCTGATACTCATTTCAACTTAATTACTTACTCTCTCTCCCTCTCTCCCTCCCTCCCTCTTTCCCTCTCTCCCTCTCTC